TACTTCCCAGTTTTTACAACCTAACTTTTTGACACTTATTATCATAAATCCAGTGGCAAAGGATATCATTTGTACACTACTGAAGTTTTTTCTATGGCACATTAAGAGACTTTTGAAATTTATATCTTCTGAAGTAAATATCAATTGTTCACTTTCCTCATTTCCTTTAAGGACAGTGTTGGATATCGGCAGCTTTATTAGCCCTCCATGCACTAGTGCAAAGTTCTTCAATATTTTCTTATTCTGCAGTTAAGCATTTAATTAAAAGATTGTTCCATACTTGTTACATTTTTGGTACTTGATGCTGCTTCTTTCAGTATCACTCGGATATTCTCTGCAGGATATTCTTCGTACGTGTCAAAAAACCCTTTGAATCATTGGCAATCTGTCTTATTTGTGTACTGACCAATTTTATTGTTCATATAATTTTATGAAGTTTTCAAAACATTACTATTAATATGTATTTAAAAATCCAATCCCATCAGGGATCATCTTTTTAAAACAACTAACTAAAACTAGAAAAGACATGCACACTAAATCAAAACTAGATAGGTAAACAGAATCTCATATATACCCATGTAAAAAAAAATTATAAGGGTCCTCCCCAGTTTATTAATGAGTTCTGTTCCAAGTATGTTCTTAAGATAAATTTGTATGTAAATTGGAATAATATTATTGAATAATACTGTATAAATAGTATTTTATAATAAACTTGGACCATTTTATATTTAACTTAAATTTTGCTCACTTCATAACCATAGGTCATCCATAAACTTCACCTATACTTTGCTTTGTTCTCTTTCTCCTAAAAATAGTTTTCAACTTTACCAATTAGTTTTATAATTAGATTATAATCATTATAATAAATATTAAATAATAAATATATATTATTATATCATATAATCTTTGCACTTTTTTAAACTTCTATGCCTTGGAACAGGCTCTCTGGGCATGGGTGGAATGCTAGCCTTTTATTCTTAATGATCTCTTCATTTGCTGTAAAAAAGGCTGTCAGTTTCTTCACAGCAGAAGTCTAAATAGAGTGATAATACTATGTTACACTAAAACCTAACTAATTGTGCTACCAATTAATTCAGATGATATTTGAGGTCATTCCAGAAGGGCTGAATTCACTTAAGGTACAGTACTTAAGTGTGTTTCCTTTTGACCCCTTAGATTAATTAGACTACAAATCGGGTTGCTTATTTTTGTCTAAAAGTATCAAGTCTTGCAACACAGGCAACATAAGGAAACAAAAAACTTTAGATTTTTGGAACAATCTTTATTGCTGGAAGACCTTGAAAACCTACCAAAATTATTGTCCTGCATAACTTATATTCAGTGCAATTAATGTAGAATTCCTCATCTCACACTCTCCCCCCCCCCCAGCATCATTTAATTGCCTTGCTACCTGTATTCCCAAGGTCTGTTAAGCATTTTATAACATAAAGTCATTTGCAGAGAAACATAGAAACAGGTCTGACTGAAATCCTTTCTTTTCAAATCGTGTTGGGATAAGTAAATTGTAAATGTATGGTAATCCGCATTAATAAGGTTTGGATCAATGTGGATCAACATTGTAGATCAACAAGTAAGAATATTCTTGTGTATCTGGGTCAGAGTTGAAATGATGGTATCATGAGCTTTACTGGTCTATGCTTCTGAATAGTTTCTATCTTTACTCCATGTGCTCCAGGGTAATTTGAGTGTGAACAATTTCGAAAGTGAAAATCACTTGTCATAGACTTTAATAAAGCCTCGCTATTGTAACATGTTCTCCTTGTTCATAATGCAGATTGGAATTTTATTTTTTTTAAATGTTACCTGTTTCAAAGATATGAAAACATGACATCAAACTATTTGCAATGTAAATCCAAAAATTGCTTATCTTTTTAATAAATTGTGGGGGTAAATGAGTCATTTTCTATCATTTTCTGGGTTGACTCAGTATCTATTTTTAGAAGTGAAGAAAATATATCAATCTAACAATTCTGTTTTGGAGAGAAGGATGTTGCTTGTTATATTTGTGATATATATATATATATATATATATATATATATATATAT